CTATCTTTGAATCTATTTTTCTCTCTTCTTGTTCTCTCTCCACCCCCCCCCCTCTCTCTCTCTCTCTCTCTCTCTCTCTCTCTCTCCTCAACCATTCTACCTAACCTTCTCTTGTCTTTATCGCTAAATCACCCCCTTCTTTTAGGCTATGGTGCGCAAGCTCACGTTAACGCGAGACCATAGATCGGTGTTGTGGGCTTGCCTCACCAGCACAGGCTTGCTTTGCAGCCCCTACTCTCCCTGCTGTTTTGTTATTGTATACTCTGTTGTCTTCTCCCCCTCTGACGAGTAGGTTGTGTACTTAGTAAAAAAAAAGAAAAAAAGCTAAGTGACGTCATCTCCAGCAGCATGCCTACTAGCAGTGCTTGGGCATGATTGGTCGCTGGCAGCTGGTTCTGGCGGCTGTGCCCACGTCCTGGCTGTCGATATTGCTGGTGCGTTTGACCGCTTGTCGCACCCCGGCGTCCTACACAAAGCGGCCACTCTCGGTATTGGCGGTGGCCTGCTGCAGTGGCTACGGGACTATCTACGGAATCGCACACTAAGCGCAATCGTCAATGGACAGGAATCTGCTCAATTCCAGATTAAAGCTGGCGTACCCCAAGGCAGCATCCTGGGACCCACCTTATTCTTGATGTATGTCAACGATGCTGAGACCTGTCTTTCCCCGCCAAGCAGCTTGTTACCCGCCCAGCAGACCCCAAATGGTGGACTCCTGAGTGCACCACAGCATTGAACACTAAAGACAAGGCATGGAAGGCCTGGAGACACAATATTTTCAGCGAAGCCCACAAGGCTTGCTTCATGCGCTCAGTAGAAGATGCTATCCTCGCGAATGTGCGAGCTCGCACATCTTGGGAACTGAGAGTTCGTCGGAAACTGTCACGCGGAGGCCTGAGAGACAAGCAATGGTGGTCGGTGCTCAAATCTGCTGCTGGCGCCAGTCATGGCTCGTCTATACCATGCTTAGTAGATGACGCTGGTCACCAACTCCGTATGAATGCTGCCAAAGCGAACTGCCTTGGTCGCTACTTCGCCAATAAATGTAGCCTTGGAGATGATGACTTGGGCCCGGGGGATCTCCCTCATGTTCGCCAACCCGGGGTCACCCCACTTAGCCGAATCCACTTCCGCCTGCAAACAGTGAAACGCCTCCTGAACCAGCTCGACGTTGGCAAGGCGTCCGGTCCGGACAACATCCCTGCTCGAGTGCTCAAAGAGTGCTCCCATGAACTTGCATCGCCTCTCACGTCTCTCTTCGCCCTGTGCTTCCGTAAGGGTGTTCAGCCAGAGGCCTGGAAGAGTGCTCGAGTTGTACCAGTCTACAAGAAGGGCAGCCTATCCAACCCTAAGAATTATCGCCCAGTCTCCCTCCTCCCCATCATCTCCAAAGTGATGGAGCGTATTGTGAACTGTCAACTTGTGAATCACCTTGAAAAACATCATCTCTTGTCAACCAAGCAGTACGGATTTCGCAGTGGCCTTGGAACAGCGGACCTACTAGCAGTGCTTGGGCATGATTGGTCGCTGGCAGCTGGTTCTGGTGGCTGTGCCCACGTCCTGGCTGTCGATATTGCTGGTGCGTTTGACCGCTTGTCGCACCCCGGCGTCCTACACAAAGCGGCCACTCTCGGTATTGGCGGTGGCCTGCTGCAGTGGCTACGGGACTATCTACGGAATCGCACACTAAGCGCAATCGTCAATGGACAGGAATCTGCTCAATTCCAGATTAAAGCTGGCGTACCCCAAGGCAGCATCCTGGGACCCACCTTATTCTTGATGTATGTCAACGATGCTGAGACCTGTCTTTCCCCATCAGCGCGAATGGGTGTGTACGCAGATAACACCACGCTGTACACCATCATACGATCCAGAGATGACTCTGCTGGCAGTATTGCAGACATGCAATCTAGCCTCGATTGAGTAGCTGGGGAGAACAATGGCGAGTTCGCTTTGAGCCGACAAAGTCGCAGCTGCTGCATATTGGCCACCACCGCAACCCCTGGCCATTACCAGACCTAGCGTTCGGAGCCCATGATATTCCCTGCGGGGACGAGCTGAAGCTCCTGGGAGTGACCTTCGACAGCAAACTCACCTTCAGACGCCATCTCCGCAATCCGGCTAGGATTTCTGCGTCGAGCATCAAGTTTCCTTGGTCGTGAAGGACACTTGACAACGTACAGAGGCTTCGTACGCCCTCTACTCGAATACGCACCATTGACATGGATGGGCGCAGCCAACTCTCACCTGCAGAGTCTCGACCAAGTACAGCGGAAGGCCCTTGCTATCATTGGTCCTGACGCCTTGCTGCAGAGCCTAGCTGCCCGCCGCCAAGTGTACGCTCTCACGTACATGTACAAGCTAATGTGCCTTCAAGACCATCCAGACCTCTCTGCGCTCGTGCCACCACGCCAGGAAGCTAGCCTCGTCCCGCGGACAAGGTCGCAGCTCCGTGTCCGCCACCAGCATCAGCTACAAGCAGTGCTCCTCCCTACGGCCCCCAACTTTCTCCAGCGTTCGTTCCCATATGGTGTAGTGGATGAATGGAACAGGCTTCCGCAAGACATGTTTCCGGATCCGATGCCCCAGTTGAAGTCTCTCCAATCCTTCAAGACGAAGGTCCATCGCCACTTGCGTCAAAAGAATTGGCTCTGGGCTACGGACTCCCTGTGAGGCTATGCCACCCGTCAATGAGCAACTACCCTCGTCCATCATCTCTTTCTTGTTTTACTTAAAGTTTTATTTCTTCTCGTGGCTCTCTCCCTCTCCCCCTCTCTCTCTCTCTCTCTCTCTCTCTCTCTCTCTCTCTCTCTCTCTCTCTCTCTCTCTCTCTCTCTCTCTCTCTCTCCTCCCTCCCTCCCTCCCTCCCTCTCTCCCTCCCTCTCTCTCTCTCTCTCTCTCTCTCTCTCTCTCTCTCTCTCTCTCTCTCTCTCTCTCTCTCTCTCTCTCTCTCTCTCTCTCTCTCTCTCTCTCTCTCTCTCTCTCTCTCTCTCTCTCTCTCTCTCTCTCTCTCTCTCTCTCTCTCTCTCTCTCTCTCTCTCTCTCTCTCTCTCTCTCTCTCTCTCTCTCTCTTTCTCACTTGAGCTCCCTCCCTCCCTAGCTGCATTCCTATCGATGCCTGGTCGTAGGCTATGATTCCGAGACCTCCGGTCGGATGAGCCTCGCCAACCACATCGGCACATCGCCCCTACTCCCCTTTGTCTGGTTGTCCAGTGTCATTTCAGTTGTCCTCTTCCCCTGATTATTAGTAGGGCTGTGTTTTTTAGTAAAAAATAAAAAAATAAAAGTACATGTATTATATGGACGTTCCTCGCATGCTAGCAGCAGCTCCCTGCATGTAACTGACGGGAAGAGGTCACGTGACGGGGACGTCGAAATGATTGGTCTTGTGTCCGCACATTTCCACATCATGACTAGTACAATACCGGTATTGTACTACTCCCTGGTTACCATGGTTACCATGGTTACATGAACACAAACACAACAAGTACAAGTGTAAGCCTTATTATTATTATTATGATCAAATTTTTGATAGGGCAATCCCCACAGGCCTAAGGCCTTCTTACAGGGTACCCTAGAAATGAAAGTACTGAATTACGGAATAGGTGCAGTCTTAAAAAGTGTTTGTCAATGTCAGTGCGTCTCTCGTAGCGCTGAGTTGGGCGCCGTGAGCCATTTTCCTTCCTTCCACTCCGGCCTAGACTACTAGTAGTAGTAGGCCCTGCCAGACAGTCGTCAAATACGACTCCCTGGCCGATACTGGGCTGGTCGCGGGCTGGTACATGCATTGTATTTTCCCGTGCTGCCACTCCATAGCGACGGGATTTAGCTAAGTTTTCAACCCCTTCTGTACTGCCTGCGCTAGTATCCCCTTCCCTAACCCAACAGCACTATCTGTTCTAATGGCAACAGCATTATCTAATGGCAACAGCATTATCTTCTAATGGCATTACCACCCCGTATACCTTATAATACTTCACACAAACGCGCCAGCTTCCGCACCACGGTGACACCAAATTGACGGACAGCAACTAATTGAGACGTAGAGTGCTGAGCATCAGTCGAATCTGTCACTATGTACGCCATGTTTTTTTTGATATGAAGAAGACCGACGACCCCAGGCAAGCTTTATGGTCAGTACTAGTAGTAGTAGTAGTAGTATTCTTTTATTTTCCATCGGAAGCCTCAACAGTGATGAACACAACTCTTAAGAGGGCCGATAACAGGGTAGAGGGGTGTGGGGTGAGGAAAAAAAATAAAATAATAATAATAGGAGATATTTAAACTAAACTAAACTGATACTTGGAACAATAAAGCAGCAGTAAGCAGTAAGCAGTAAACACAGGTATACAATACAAGCGATGCAGATGAATGAGGCCGTTTGCTGAAAAGAAGATCTAAATACTTCTGAAAAGACGCTGCGTCTTTAAGCATGGTCATAATGGGATAGTGCAAGAATTAAAGAGATGTTTTTAAAAACGAATTTAAACTAGGAACTACAGCTCCCCCCCCCCCCCCCCCCACACACACACACATGCTGAGCCTGATCCGTTCATTTTTCTTTCTTTTTGGTAACTCAAAAGCCTCTTCTACGGGCAAAATAAACAAGAATTCTTGTGGTGAAGGAAAATACTACTTGAAGTATTGGTATAGCTACGATGTGTAAGACAAGCTCTACACCAATAATATGCTATACGTACATGTCTGTATCTACATGTACACCGTCACCATGACTACCATGACTACCATGACCATCATGTTACCAACACCAAACTGTGTGAACGTGCCGTTTTGGGATGAATGGAGCGTAATCATTCAAGACAGGCTTCTATTCGAACCAGGCATTTCAACAGTAAAACCAGGCGTATCGGCATGTAGCAAAAGTCAAGTTGCGTGTGCCACCCTTATCACTAGTACCAAGACTAGAGTCCATAATCCACACAGTGCACAACTGGGACGGGGTTGTGGACGGCGTAATCCATATTGTACATGATTTTTTGGGTCGGACTTGCATCTTCGACGCGGTTCACCACGCGGACACACCTCCCCTGCTCATGATGTCACACTATGACGTGCAACACGGATTTCGCCGTCCCAGATCTGATCAGTGAAGTAAATTAGTTGCGCACTCTGGGGGACTATGGACTGTTGCTAGTACCGGGGTCCGGGTCACGGGTAGGTTTCAAGCTCAGGCTTACTTGTACTCCAGGATGCACTCGGTACTTGCTGAGAGTGCAAGCAGGGCCTCAAAGTCAAAGACAAAAGAACATACCAGTAATAGCACGCAGCACACCAGACGCAGCGAGGCTGCCACTTTGTTACTTTGTTGCAACTCTGAGCACGGTTCATGCTCGGTGAAATCGAGGTTCAAGCATTCTGTTTCAATGAACCACTGGATCGTCATAAGATATTCATGATTAAGGACATGACACGATGAGAGAAAAGAGCGAAGAAGAGAGTATTGAAATACACGAAAAATGCAAAACACGAAGATGGAAATATATAGAACTGTGCTTATAATTGTGCTATGCGGCGAAACCTGGACTGACAATTCAAGCACTCCATGTGCAATCATGGGGTCGGGAAACTTCTCAAGTGCACACTTCTGGTGTTCGATACCTGCAACACAGCAGAAACCAACAAGAAATAGATACAGTCAACTTTGCGTATAACGACACTCAGCTGGGCATCAGAAAAGTGTCCTTGTCCCAAGTCTCGATATATGTATACAGTTTTAATGGGACTTTGCTCTGGGCATGGACATTCTGTTGATATTCACGAATAGTCGGTGTGACTGCATTTGTGCCCTGTGTCACAGCCATGAACATGTTGACTGGTCCAGTTGGACACCCCCTCCTGTACTGAGAACATTAGGGGCCAGATCTGCAGCTATGTCTAATATGAAAATACACTTGGCTACATGCAACCTTCGTTTAGGCAGAGCCAACCAGCAAAATCCTGCTGCTCATTATACATGCACCGTAAAATACCGCCAGAGCGCCCCATCTCGCCACAGCACCCCATCTTGATTTTAGAGCCAAGCGAAGAAAATCGTATGGCAGAGTGCAACTGAGTTTGTACGCTGTCAGAAGTAAGGCCACACTTGGCATGCTTTTATGCGGAGCTCGCATCCGATTGAAGGCAAATTGAGTACGGATTGACCACACAATGCGCAATGTGTGTACAAGATCCGTGTCGTATGACCAACAGACAGGAAACCACCTCCACAAGACGACCACGAAAGGACGAGATGGTGGGGCGCTCTAGTGGGGCGCTCTAGTGGGGCGCTCTGGTGGGGCGCTCTAGTGGGGCGCTCTGGTGGGGCGCTCTGGTGGGGCGCTCTAGTGGGGCGCTCTAGTGGGGCGCTCTAGTGGGGCGCTCTAGTGGGGCGCTCTGGTGGGGCGCTCTAGTGGGGCGCTCTAGTGGGGCGCTCTAGTGGGGCGCTCTAGTGGGGCGCTCTAGTGGGGCGCTCTAGTGGGGCGCTCTAGTGGGGCGCTCTGGTGGGGCGCTCTGGTGGGGCGCTCTAGTGGGGCGCTCTGGTGGGGCGCTCTAGTGGGGCGCTCTGGTGGGGCGCTCTGGTGGGGCGCTCTAGTGGGGCGCTCTAGTGGGGCGCTCTAGTGGGGCGCTCTAGTGGGGCGCTCTAGTGGGGCGCTCTGGTGGGGCGCTCTAGTGGGGCGCTCTGGTGGGGCGCTCTGGTGGGGCGCTCTGGTGGGGCGCTCTGGCAGTACTTTACGCTACACACACAGTGACACCACGAATTATTATAGCGAGTAAGTCAGTTGGCAGATAACGTCAGGTATTGCATGCATTATAGTACGTTTCAAAAGCATAGACCTCTGGTTTCAAATAACCGTTTAATAGACCAGCATCTATACCACATAACATCTGTGATCAGTTTGTGCATAAAATTTCCAAAAATGGGCGTTTGTTAGAAATCTATATGAGAACAATTGGGGGAATTGCCTGAGCAATATCTCAAAGGAATTTCCCAAAAAGCTCAAACCAAATTTTTATTCGAAAAAGTCCAGAGGTCTATACTTTTGACATGCACATGTGACAAAAAAAACTACACTTGCATCCACCACCTCATCAAAACGAAGGCGAGCCAGATTGTAGAAACGCTGTGGCTTGAAAGCGCACATCACAGGCTTGCTCCACCAAAGTGAAAGTTTGTGACAGGAAAAAAAGGGTTGGGAAAGAAACGTTTGGTAAAGAAAAAGTTCAGGAAACAAAGAGTTTGGAATAGGAAACAAGCAGAGAAACTGGGTGAGAACACATTCGAAATAGCGATAATAGTTTGGGCTGCACTGTAAATAATAGTTTGGGCTGCTGCACTGTAAATGAAAAGCATACGTTTGAATGCGATCGCTCTAGATACTTTCAAACATCAACCTACCCACACCGCAACCTACCCACACCCATTTCATGCATCAACCTACCCACACCCATTTCATACATCAACCTACCCACACCCATTTCATACATCAACATTTTCACTGGCAACCTACCCACACCCATTTCATACATCAACATTTTCACTGGCAACCTACCCACACCCATTTCATACATCAACATTTTCACTGGCAACCTACCCACACCCATTCCATACATCAACATTTTCACTGGCAACCTACCCACACCCATTTCAAACATCAACATTTTCACTGGCAACCTACCCACACCCATTTCAAACATCAACTTTCACTGGGATCTCAGCTGTCCAGCGGAGCAAACTGCATGTTGATCGGAGCGCTTTACTGAAGTTCAGCAAACCGTACCGTAATATGGTACGCCTCAAGTTGGGCTGGTACACAAAGGGGTTAACTACAGCGTATTAGTTTGTGCAACAGAGCTTAGCAGTTAACTTCCACCATCGGCCATTGCTAAAGTGGTTGCCTCGGGATCCTTGTTGAGTTTACCTACCAAACCCAATATTACTCTCAGGGGGGGGGGGGGGGGGCTGTTGGGTTTAACTCCCGAGTTCCAACCAAATATCACCCACCCTGCCTTATGCAGATAGTCCCTATAACCAGTAGAGTAATTACCTTAGACACCTCGAATTAATTTACAACCTCTCACTGTATTGATAATGTTCAGGTGCAAAGGGCAGCTATCACCTACAACCCAACACACAGCAAACACACAATGATGTCATAATGATGTCATAATCCCAATTCGACCACATCATCCTTAAAATCATCCTGAAATGCAGTTGGAATTGCAGAGGTACACACTGCGTAATGCTCTGAACATGATGCAATGTAGCTGAAAGGTGCTATGCTTGTGTTTGTGTGTGTATCAGAAATTGTTATCCACCTGCATCTGCAAGCGACGCATGGAGTGGCTTGAGCATATTGCACGTATGCCGGATACTAGGCAGCCTAAACAGCTGTTGTTTGGATGGTTCGGCAAGGCTCGTCCGGCAGAAGGTCCACGCCTTCGGCTCAAGGACCGTGTTCATCACGACCTATGCTCCTTGGATACTCCATGGTTTGCAACGGCCCAGGATTGACCTTTGTGGAGATCGAGTGTCGTTGATGTTGTGCCTCGACCACCACCGTCTAAGCCAACTGTGCACTGCAGTGTTTGCGACCGCCATCATCTTAGTGCGTCTGGGTACAGGCAACATATGTGCAGTGCGGCCCGTCGACTTCCTGTCAGCCAACAGCCTGGTGCAAAGTCGTGTCAACATTATGGTAGATGGTTTAACCCTTTAAGAGCCACAGGAAAATTTCAAAATTCTGCATTTTTTCGTGTTCCTTGGATCATAGCTTCAGTTCTACTCACTCAATCCTCACAATCTAGGGCTTCCTGGAAAGGTCTCCGCGAGAGGAAGAGAATGAGGTCGATCATGATTGCCAGCACACCGTCTATCCAGCGCTAGATCGCAGCGACAGTACGAAAAATGCCCCAAATGCGTCCAATTGCGTCCCGTTCCAGATATTTCATTTCGCTCGATCGTGGAGTTCCAATTTTTTCGCTGTGTACTCTTGACAATATCAACAGTGAAACCCGTGCAAATTCAAGTAAACCAGCGTGACGAAAAGTCTCAAAATTCTCAATACTAAAGTCGCACTGCGCGCTTTTGAAATTGCCGCGATCGCGGCTCAACTTACGAGTTATTTATCTCAGGAACCGTAGCTCGCAGCGCTTCGCGGATTGTTTCTCCCGACAGGTGAGAGTTTTGTCTTCGCCCTGGATATTTCGATCACTGGATTTGAGCGAGATTGGACTGAGTTACGATCTTTTGAAGTTTTGCATTTGAATGCGTCGTTTACGACGCATTCAAGTATGGGGCGGCTCTTAAAGGGTTAAGAGTGCTGGTGGGCTGAAGGCGCATACGTGCTCTCTCGCAGGTTCCTCCCAACAGCCATCGGACTCTGTCGACCATGCACCTTGCCTAGTGCGTCAACACCAACATCAGCAGCTAGTATGTGATGAAGAATAGCATGATATGCTCCAAAATAAATGTTGTGCAAGGGTGAACAACACTCAACAGTAGTAATATGACTGATGTCAGGGATGATTCTAGTGACTGAGATATCGGTCTGGAAGAAATACATGCCATGTCATGTACATGTACGTGTAATTGCTGGATAGGTGCTGTTGGATAGCTGCGTTGGATAGCTGGATAGCTGCGTCCCACGTACAAGTTACTTGTACGTGGGACAGTGACATGATGTCATCTCCCCCCCCCCCCTCAGTGACATGATGTCATCTCCCCCCCTCAGTGACATGATGTCATCTCCCCCCCCCTCAGTGACATGATGTCATCTCCCCCCCCCTCAGTGACATGATGTCATCTCCCCCCCCTCAGTGACATGATGTCATCTCCCCCCCCCCTCAGTGACATGATGTCATCTCCCCCCTCAGTGACATGATGTCATCTCCCCCTCAGTGACATGATGTCATCTCCCCCCTCAGTGACATGATGTCATCTCCCCCCCCTCAGTGACATGATGTCATCTCCCCCCCCCCCCCCTCAGTGACATGATGTCAT